AACAAAGGACATGGGAGGGAACAAGGGCACATTTCCTACCCCTTAAATGCAAACAGCTCTTCAGGGTCCCAAGAGCACTTTCAACTGAATGGCACATTGATGCCGTGAGGCCGCTGGAGAAGGTGCGTTGTCTGAATGGTGCAGACAGAGCTCCTGAGGCTCACAAAGGCTGGGCGATGTGCCCAAGGCCGCATGGCTTGTTACCTGCGGTGCAGCCGTCAGTCCTGGATCTGATTCCAGATTCTGTGTATCTGCCGTGCACATGTGTGTCTGCATGCAGCCTGAGGAAGCAGGCATATCTGCCTATGCTAATGCATGCACTTGACACACACAGAGCCTAGGCGTGTGTGTCTGTGCTCAGCCTCTCCACAGGTACAGCAACCCCCCGAGGGCAGGCATTGTGCCTGATGCACCTTCGCCTCCAGCAGCGGCAGTCAGGGCTCAGCCCACGTGTGGGCCAGTGCAGCATTTTCTCCAGAGCCTGGTCCAGGAAGAGGAGGAAATCTTCTGCCTGACTCTGAGAACTTACAGGAAGAGGAGGGACAAGTGTGCTCTTATCCACATACTTCTTCTCCCTCCATGCTGAGGTTTTTCTACCTCCACACGATTAAAAAATGGCAAATAAATTAGCATATGAAAATATGTAGCAAGGGTGAAAATGGCCCTGCAGGAGGTCACAGCCATAGTTACAGTGTTCCAGGTTTCCAGGTGTACCTGCCACTCCAGGCTGAGTGGAAAGAAGGCCTCCCCGGAAGGGCACCGTCTCAGTGTTGGCAAGGCCAAGGCTCCTACATGACTTTGTTCCCAGAATCAGTGTGACAGTCCCATGAAGGATGCTTCAGTTTTCCAGCGATCTCCTCTCCTGGGTGTGGGCGCTGCTGGCAAGCAAATCAATTGGTCCCACAGCTCTGCCATCCAAGACACAGAGCTGAGGCGACATCCCCCAGAGAACCCCACAGACTCACGCCTGGGCACCTGGGCCCATTCGACGCAGAGCAACAGGCAGGCACTGGGCGTGCTGTCAGCTGAGCAGTGAAAAGGGACAAGCTGCTATGTCAAAAGTGACACGCCGGCTTCTGCTGGTCTTGCAAAAGAGCTCTGCAGTGATGTGACTGCAACTGACATCCCGCAACGGCAGCGGCTGGTTTCTGTGCTGGATTGAAATGCATCCAGCTCCCTGCTTTCACAGCGATGACTTCCAATGCTAATTCTCAGCGAGCCGGGCATGAAATATATTCACAGGCGCTGCTTGGTGAAGGCCCTTTGGAGTTATTTGAGGTACCTGTGATGAAAACATCTGTGCCACTTGCTCTTGTGCATTTTTGTTCCCTTGGTTTCAATTATGCAAAGAATCTTTGGGCAAGAGCAAGAGAGAGGGGGAGAGAGAGAGTTTGCTGATGTAGTCTTTTTCCTTTTTGATAAGAGAGAGGGCCTGGTCTGATGCCTGAACGGGGGAAGCATAAGAAGAGAGAGGCAGACTTTCATCTTCTGCAAAGACACAGGGACGTGCTCTGCCTCATGCAAATGAGCTGTTCTAAAAGCGTCCCTGTGTCCTGCTGAGCCGCCTGGGCTCCCTCAGCCCTTCTCTCCGCAGGACAAATAAAGGGTGAGTTTACTGAGCTCATGTCTGTGAACATAAGTAATTGAGGGGGATGCTGGCAGCAACGAGGGTGGGCGGCTGATGCCGTGGAGGAAGCCCACCACCTAGGGCGGCGCGCACACGTGTGCTGTGCGATTCCAGCTAACGTCTTTCTTTCTGGCACTGCAGCCTCGAAGAGCCTCTTCTCTCCACTGAAGGTCTACCCATTTGCTCTCTCCCGAAGAATGTGGCCCAAGTATGGGGTCTACAAGAGGTTACCAGAGATTTAAGACTCAGAGATGGGCCAGGGTCCCCTCGAGGCAGAGACGAGCTTGGAATCCAGGTCTTCCGATCTCATAGGGACTGCGGTTGGGAAAAGTCCCTGGGAGCTGTTTTTTCAAGTGCTGACCGAGTTGGTGGGCCCATCCCATCCCAGGGCCCCCGGTGTGGGGTGCGACGGACACCTTACCCGTCTGCAGACTTTTCTCATCTACCCTGAGCTCCCAAATCTAGTCGCTAATGGTTTCACAGGAAGCATGCATCGATCCCTGGACTGCCTGAGCCATCTCAGCAATGGTGGGAGACACAGGAAGAGTCTGCTTCCTATTATTCTGAAAGCCGGAGCCACAGGCAGGGGCAGCACAGTCTGAGTTCTCAGTGTCTGTGTGTGGTCCCTCGATGTAGAGCAAGGGCTCCTAGGAGGCTGGTCACTGAGGACGAGGACAGCACTGCCCACACTGGGGAGGAGGAGAGGCTGAGCATTTCACCCAGACACTCAGGCACAGTCTCCAAGCCCATGCTGCCCCCACGCCATGAGGGCCCCAGTCGAGCATCATCTCCTGAGCTGGGATTTGTGTGGGAATCTTCTCTCTCCTCTGCATAGCTGGGTGGCTCTCTTGTGCCCTCACGTGCCTGCACCAAGACCAGCTCTCCCTCTCTGCCCTCCTCAGTGACCACGAACTCCTTGCCTTCTGGTGAACGAGTGGGCGGCACTGTGAGACCACAGCTCGGAGGCTGTGTGGGTGGAGTTTGTGCCTCCTGCCCCTGTGCTGAGCTTCCACAAGAGGATGGGGTCCTTCACCGGTGGCCCCAGCCCCTCAGCCGAGTTCCTGATAAAATTCCTTGTCGATTTGCCACAGCTGCTGTAACAGATTCCCATGATCTCAGCGGGTGCAGAGCCACCTGTGCCGATAGTCACCGCCGGGATGGGAGGAGTCCTGGCGGCCAGGCGTCTGTGTCAGCAGGGCCGTGCTCCTTCGGAGCCTCTGGGGGACTCTTCACCTTTTTCCGATCTGAGGCACCAGCCAGAGTCCTCGGCCCAGACCCCTTCCTCCCCCCTTGACAGCTCGCCAGGAGCACCTCAGCCTCTCTCTGGCTTCAGCCTTTGCCCTCTCACTCCTGCTCTGACTCCTACAGGGACCCGAGTGATTGCCTTGGGTCCCCTGGATAATCCAGGATAATCTCCTCAATCCCCAAATTCTTACTTTAATCGCATCTGTGAGTCTCTTTGCCAGTGAGGTGACACATGACAGGTCCCTGGGCAGGTCATGGACACCACTGGCGTCGATGGTTCTGTCTGCCCAGGCTCCCTCCCTCCAGGGTTGCCGCTGGTGGGTGCCTCACTGCTCTGTGGCTTCCTGCTCTCTGCTGAGCCTTCAGAGAGACAGAGAGACACCCTCCAGCGACATGTTTCTGCTGGCTCCTCTGCATGGCCCATCTGGGCTCCCCACATTGGCAGCACCTTCTCTGAGCTCAGGTCAACAGCCCTGAGCTGCCTGCACCCCCTCTCCTTTTTCCCATCCAACAAGACTGCTGTTGAAGAGTGGGAGGGTGATACGGATGTCCCTGCTGGCGGATGGACCCGCAGGGAAGGAGAATGTCCCCTCAGCTCTCTGCTGCCCACAGGCCGTGCAACTCTGACCTGCACATGTGCTCTCTGTGCTGCAAACCATCGCCCACTCAGACCAGTTTCCTCCAGCAGCTCCGGAGGCTGTGGACAGCAGGCCCTCGGCTGGCCCACCTTGTATCCCCTGTGCCCTGCACTGAGCCGGTGCTGAGGTCGACACCTACTGGTGAGGCTCACACCAGGCATTCCTTGAGCCTCCTTTTTTGTGGCTCTCACTGCATTTTGATGAAATTATTTATTTAGCCATTGCTACATTTTCTGTTATGGTATCCGTGTACCAAGTTCTCTCTCCTCAGACCAGGAGGCGTGTGCAGCAGGCCTGGGAGGTGCCCCCAGTGGCTGCCGAGGAGGCCGGGGGAGGGCACAGAGGCGGCTGGGTTGACCCCCAACGTTGTGAAAGCACCATTCCTCCAGGGCGTTTCTCCACATGGGCCTCTTCCCTCCTCCTCTGCCCTCAGGGCCTGTTCTGCTGCCGCCGCCCTCTGATTACGGAGAAATGGGGCACCCAGCTAAGAAACCAGCAGCTCACAGCCAGTGAGGACAAGCTTTGTACTTGAAAAGAAAAAGAAAGAAAGAGGGAAATTTTCAACATAAAGACCTGGACTGTAAATGGAAGAATTTCAGGCCCAAAGCAAATAAAATCTGGAAGTAACAGGCCGGTCCCCACCGTCAGGCTCTGTCTGACTCCACGGTCAGAACTCCCTGCATCCGCCTCCTCTCTTCAGGCCTCAGCGGGCTCAGGTGGAGCGTGAGGCCGGAGTGCACAGTGTGGATTCCAATGGTCCAGATCCCTCCCAGCCCACCACTTCTGACAAGGATGCAAAGACCCCAGCAAGTCTGAGAGCCCCGTTTCCACCCGGCTGGAGGGGTCTGACAGGGTCACGGGAAGAGCCCAGCCTTGCTGGAATCTGCTGGTCGTGGATGAACAGTCACCCCAGCACTTCACTTGCCTTCTCTGTCCTCCAGTTTCCTCATCTGTAACGTGGTTATTCATACCGAACTCGCAAGGTTTTCATGGGAAGGACGCTCAGGACAGCGCCCGGCGTGCAGTCCTTACTCAACAATGTGGATTGCTTCCTTTTCCCAGTGTCTCGTTTCAGTCTTGTTCCTAGGACGGAGTTATCCACAAAGAAGAAGTGGGATCCTAGGGAGGGAAGGAGGAATGAGGGGAGGAGTGAACGGCAACCTGTGTGGCCAAGACATCGCTCAGGAATGTCCTTGACAATGCCGGGCACGGTGGCTCATGCCTGTAATCCCAGCACTTTGGGAGACCGAGACGGGCGGATCATGAGGTCAGGAGATCGAGACCATCCAGGCTAACACGGTGAAACTCCGTCTCCACTGAAAAAAAAATACAAAAAAAATTAGCTGGGCATGGTGGCGGGCACCTGTAGTCCCAGCTACTCGGGTGGCTGAGAAAGGAGAATGGCGTGAACCCGGGAGGCAGAGCTTGCAGTGAGCTGAGATGGCGCCACTGCACTCCAGTCTGGGAGACAGAGTGAGACTGTCTCAAAAAAAAAAAAAAAAAGAATGTCCTTGACCGCAGACCCTTCCGAAAGACAGCTAGAAGCCGGGATCAAACACAATCGCCAACCTGATTTTTCAGCACACATTTTTTGGCAATCTGTGTGTGTGTGTGTATGAGATGGAGAGAGGGTGGAGGACGAGGGAGCGTTGGTCTCAGGCTTTTCAGAAAGGAGGTGGATCTGAGGAGTCCTTTTCTCTTCTAATTATTTCTGGATGGCTGCTGCGTTCTCTCCCTCCTATCTTACCGGCCTCGTGCAAAGTGTCTATAATCGATAGCGGCTCAGGCTGAGAGCTCTTGGAAGGAGCCAGCAGAGCCACTTTAGCTGCCAGGCAGGATGGAGTCTGAGGTATTGGGCAGACACCCAGGCTGGGGAAGTGGGCAGCCTGCCGCACCCCACGGCTGCTCCCGCCCCATCCCATCGCATGCTTGCTTGTTTTGCCCGGATCTTGAAGACACAAAGGAATGAACCAGCAGCAACTCCAGGGCCTCCATGGACCTTGCCGTGCCCCTGCACGGTGTCTCATTTAGTTTCCCAACAACCCTGAAGGGTGGATTTTATCCTCCTCCTCGTGAAAAGCATGGGTGAGGCACTGTCCTGAGGACAGAGCTGGGGTTTGCCATCTCCTGACTGCAGTGGCAGAGGTGGGAGCTCTGCCTGCAGGCAACACAGGGGAAGGCCACAGGGGCCCTGGGCTCCCATGTGCTGAGTGCCACGTGTGGCTTGTGAAGTCTAACGTTGCACCTGCTACGCTTCCAAAGATGAGGTTGTTGTGTGACAAGATCTCACCCTTGTGGGTTGAGGCTGCAGCCCCCTAGTGCCTGCTGCTTACCCTGCTCCTTTTGGGGCAAAAGGGGTGGGAATTACGTCAGTCAGTTTTATATCATTTTCTCCAAAACCAGTTTTGTGACCCTGACCACTGTGACTTTAAAGAGGGATTGGTGCCTGAGCCAACAAGAGCCTTCCACAGCAGCCTGGGGAACAGCCATAACCAACCTGGCCAGACTGCGCTCAGAAGGCTGCAGAGAACCAAGCTTGGCTGCAAGAGCAGGCACCAGCTCCTACAGAGGGCTGCTGAGATTTTTCAGTAAAAGCCTTGGCCGAATGTGCCTGGTGTACTCTGAAATAGCCAAACTATAATACGGGTCCTCTTTCTTCACAGCGAAACACAATACTCGTATCAGCCTAGTTAATCATGAGAAATTAGCAAGCGAATGAAGTCAGGTATGCTTCCTCCGTTTTTCAAATTGCAAGGATGGATGTGTTCTTAGCATCTTGCAGGCTTGGTGAGGGATGAATATGACAAAGCCCCTGCCTTTAAGGTGCTCACAGCTGGGAAGCCAATCCAGAGCCCCTGCCTCTGCTGCTAGTGCACAGGACAGGGCTCAGAGAGCAGAGAGGGAGGAAGACTGGCAACTCCCAGGGATGGCCAGATGACTGCATGGAGAGATGGGATGGGCACTTGGAGGCCCACCTGGGAGCACCATTGCTAATCCCACTGCCCAGAAACCTGCCCACAGTCACAGAGGGAGCAGCAGAGGCTGAGTCAGCTGGATTCCACAGGCTGCAGGGTTTGCATCCTGTCTTCCCCCACCACCCACCACCGTGGACCTTTCCTCTTCATTTAAGGAAGGTGCTTCCTGCAGGCAGGAGAAGAGGTGGTGCACACAGGGACGGGTGGGGACAGCCTGCTAGGTGCACACCTTCTTGTTTCCTTATCTTCCCAACAAACAGAGCACCAGAGTAGTAGCTGAACGGAAGGGGAGTGTGCTAATCCCAGATTTGCTTTAGTAAATCCCATCAACTCTAAGATATTTATGTACCTCTAAAAAGATGGCATCAACTACATTTGACACGCCATTGATGTTAAAATATATTTTTCAATGAGTACCTTAGAATTGATGGAACAGCTTAGTAGCAGTATGCTTTTCAGGCAAACTCTGCTGTGCCTCCATTTAGTCATCTGTGACATGGGAAAGACAATGCCACCCTACAAGTTGAGAGATGTGGTGTCCAGTGATGATGACCTTGGTTTGTGAACCCTGCAAAAGTACCTTTCGCTAAAAAAAGCCCGGGGCCTCACTTTGGCCCTCCTGCCATCATCCAGCAGATGGACAGGCCCTTGGAATCAGGATGGTCCTTCGAGGTGCACTATCACATGGCAAGCACTTGCTCTTGTCCGACCTGGCCCCACGTGCTGCATCTGAGCCTTGTCTGGCCTGGCCCCTTGTGCTGCCTCTGGGCCCTTGTCTGGCCCAGCCCCGTGCTCTACATCTGGGCCCTTGTCTGGCCTGGCCCCGTGCGCTGCATCTGGGCCTGCCCTTGTTTCCAGGGAAGGGAGATGGGAGGAAATCAACATGCCTCTAAGTGCAGCTCAGGATCCGTGTGGTTCAAGCCACTCTCGGGGTTGGTCTGTCCTAGCATTTGGGCACTGAATAACGCAGACAAGAGGCTCTCACTGCATTAATTATTAATTGTACTTTTTGCATTTCTAAGGACAGCAGAGAGACGAGCTCTGAGGCGGAAGAGAGGGAGACTGGAAGGATCAGCAGACAGAGCTGCCCCCGTGCTTGCCCCTGGGGGACTTCCCCAACTCCACTCCGGTCATGTCCTCAGACCTGGGACATGCGACAGAGAGCCTCTCCGCCCTGCGTGTGGGTTTGCACGTACGGCTGTGGGGAGGCAAAATTTCCAAGTGCACGGTGGGAGGGGGCTGTCTCTACTGGGAAAGAGCAGGAGGCTGGCTCTGGAAAGAGCCTTTGTCTCTGAGCCCAGCCTCGCCCGAGCCACCTGTGCTGTGGACTCTGGAGAAGGTAAAGAGCCAGCCCCGCGTGGGACCTGCAGGTGACGTCCCTGTCAGCCGTGGGGTGCGAAAGTCACTCTCCCTGCACACGTTCTGGGGATTTTGCCCATGTCTGCTGTTCTTCTCAGCAGCCCTCTCTACTTCCAGCCAGCGACTCCAAGCCCCCCACGCCCACACCCACCAAGGGCCGCAGTAGCTCTGTGGGACATGCGGGCCCTCCGAGGACAATGAAGGCTGGTGGGGGTCACCCTCTTCTGAGAGAACCAGAATCCTTTGCTTCCCATGCGTATTCCCCTGTTATCTTCCTAATGTGTTCCTTATACTGGAGAGGTAGAATTAAAAAATAAGAAGAGGAAAAAGAAAAGAGAAATCTTTTGCCTTAGTTGCACTTAGTTTAAATTGTCTCCTTCCAAGACGCAGGGGAGGGTTCACCGTGATCGCCATTATTATTAGAGTCTGCTCTAGAGGGGAAGGCGGGACGGAGAGGAACCAGACAGGGCTGGAGCGTCCTCCCGACTGTGACCTTGGCACAGCCTGACTGTGAAGACAAGGACCAGCCTAGGTCTAGGCCTGAAGGAGGAAAAAAAGTTGCCCGGCAAGGACCCTGCATCTCAGGGTCTTCCCACATATTTCGCCAGATAGTAAAACTGAGTTCAAAAAGGAAAGTGTCTTGCTCCAGACCTCAAAGCCTGTTAATAACAGGGCAGGCTGCCACAAAATCAGCTGAGAGAATGATCCTAAACTCTGAAATGGATTATTTATTACTCACAAAACCGTAGGCTTAAAGGCAGGCATGCAGATAACCAATTAAAGAGCCTTAGCTGGTGTTTTATCATCCTGCCCTCCCAGGTGCTGGGGGCCCAGTCAGGAGGGGCTCAGGTCTGCAGAGGCCGTCTCTCACCCAGCCCCTGTTTCGTTCGGCGTTGCGGGCTCAGGCCGCTGCCTCTGTCACAGACCTGCACACAGAACCCCAGCTGGCTTTGAGAGGACTCCAGGTGTCTCCGCCGTGTCTACACCTGGTTTGTGTTATCTACCCAGAACGCAAGGTAGGAAATCTGGGTTTCTATCTAAAGTGCTTAATGGTAATTATGTGATCACCATGCCTCTGATGCATTATCTGATTTTCATCCCCACTCCAGTCACGTGAGACAAGCGTTCTTTTTATTTCTTTTCTTTTTTCTTTTTTTGAGACGTAGTCCCACTCTGTCACCCACACTGGAGAGCCGTGGTATCATCTTGGCTCTCTGCAACCTCCGCCTCCTGGGTTCAAACGATTCTCCTGTCTCAGCTTCCCGAGAAGCTGGGATTACAGGCATGCGCCTCCACACCCAGATAATTTTTGCATTTTTAGTAGAGACGAAGTCTCATCATGTTGGCCAGGCTGGTCATGAACTCCTGACCTCAAGTGATCCGCCCACCTCGGTCTCCCAAAGTGCTGGGATTACAGGTGAGAGCCACTGCGCCTGGCCTGAGACCAGCATTTCTATCTTTGCTTTACAGAGCAGGAAGGTAGAGCTCAGGGAGGTTCTGGGAGGCTCCACTGTGGCTCTGACTCCGGCTGTGAGATTCCGCACTGGCCTGGGCCTCTCCCAGGAACCACACTGCGCAGGTCATTGCTGGTTCAGTCCTTCTCATGTCAATTCATTGCCATTTCCTCGTTCTCGGTGTGTGAACTCCCGTTTGCTCTTACGTCCACTTTACATTGCAGAGAAGTGTTATCATGAACCATTTCCCTAACTGTGGGCACTGTATTGTTTTTATTTTTAATACCATAAATAGCAATATGGTGAACATCCTGGTAAATACAGTTTTATTCTTGTTTTAGATTATTTAATTAGGAAAAGTTCCCCAAAGTTCCTTGACGGCTATTGCTTCCTGTATCATTTTATTCCACGTTGACTATTACCATCAGCGTACGGCAATATATGTAGCACGCTCTCTCACGCACTAGTAACAACCTGGATTATTCATCTTTTAAACTTTGATCGCCGAAGGGAAACAAAGCCTCTCCTTTCTCCCTCATCACTTGGATCCGTGGCGCAGCGGGACAGCGCTCCCCGCTCTGTGCGCCATCTTTATTTCCTCCTCTGGGAATTATTTGTTCCAAGCAGGAGGCTCAGCAGTGAGTGGGGGCTGAATGGAGACCTGCATTCCAGGCCTGGTGTCCTAGGTGACGAGGCCTCCAGCCAGAGCATTTCTCCTTCCTCACAGCCCAGATGCCCTTGAAGCCAAGGTCACGTCCCTGAATCTTCTGCCCATCCTCGTTCCTCACCACTGGCTCCTGCGGGTGGTGCAGCGCCCACCTCCTTCTGTGCTCCTGCCCTGAAGCCTGTGTCCCTCCACACAGACAAGGCTAGAGCATCTTCAGTGAATCTATCGCAGGCAACGTGACTGTTTCCTGATGCCTATGGTGTGGTCAAATCCCTCCTTCCACCCCGGGCCTCTGGACTGGAAGGCTGTGGTCATGCTGGTTCTTGCAGCCCTGATCTCCCCTTGGGCTCCTGGTGCCACGTCGTGCCTGTCCAAGCCACTCAGCTTCAGGAGGAAGAGGTGTTTGCCCTGCTGGTTCCCTGCAAGGTATGTAAGTGTGCGTCAGGTGGCAGCTTCCACATGCAGGCAAGTGCGACCTCACCCACAGTGCATCCACGGCACATGAGCAAATGTTTCCTTTCAGGCACAGGAGGGCGATGCCATAGTCTTTTGATCTCTCAAGAAAAAATGCACACTGGAAAAATGCAAGGTATTATGGTTACTTGTATAAAGCTTCTTACCTGTGCAGATGGGCCTCAATAACCATAAGGAGCATCAAATCTAAGGAAGAAACGTTCTCAATTAATTCTGAGTTGGAAGTGAAGAGAGAGGATTTGATATCAGAAAGGATGCCATAAAAACTGTCATGTGTATATCATTTAAAAACGGATGCTGACTCTGGGCTTGAGCCACCATCCCAGGGAATGTAGCACCCTTTTCCCGTCACCCACAGCGGAAGTCATAGAGAATGTGAGCAGCCATTAGGTGCATGCCTGGCAGTGCCAGCTCTGGGGGGGCTGCGGGAGAGGAGCCCAGGTTGGAGCTCAGGGTTCCTGGTCCTGGTGCACGCCTGGCAGTGCCGGCTCAGCGGGGCTGCGGGAGAGGAGACCAGACCTGGAGCTCAGGGTTCCTGGTCCCGGCTGCCCCCTGAAAGTGTCCTTGATCATGCCGAGGTCCTGGGTATCACAGGGCACGCTCTCAGGCTCATCGGGTCAGGTTCAGGACGTCACTTCCAAGAGCTAGTATCATATCCACAGAACTGGAGCTAGAGCGGAAGCTATCCCTCTGTAACAGTTTCCCTCTTTGTAAAATGGGAGTAAAGCCCCTTAAAGCCTTCATTCTTACCCTGGAAAATGATAGAGTTCTACGACTGTAGAATTCTAGGTCATTAGCCCCATGCTATTGAGGACCTCCTCCTCCTTCCTGCTTTTTACAGAGGATGCCCCGTCCCCGTCATCTTCCACCAGTGCACAGTGTGGATTATTTCATGGGCTCGTCTTTGCCACATCCAGGCTCTGGTGGCTACTTCAGCCTGTGATTCTGTCGCTGTTGGGTGTGACCAAATTTGCATAAGCAAATTGGTCACAGTGGTGTGGCCATCCAGGCACCTCACTATCCCACGCCTCTCCCGAAACCCATCACCACCCTCGCTGGACCCAAACCCACTCCTCCTTACGCATCGTCAAAGACTGTGCAATTCTCAAACCAGAATGTCCACGCATCCTGGGTTCCCTTCCTGACCATGGTGGGCTATTTAGCAGCAAGTCCTGTTACTCTGTCTCCTTCACTTACCCTCCTGCAGCCTCAGCTGCTTAGGACACCTTTGTCTCCGGCCTGGAGCACCACCACAGCCTCCCAGGAGGACTCTTCTGGTTTCACTCCCTCAAATCCATCACAGAGAGATCTTCCTGGGGGAGATGCTTTAATTTTTTTGTTTTCAAATTTGTTATATTTTTATAAATAAATGATAGCTATATATATGTATGGGGTACAATGTGTTTCAGCATATGTATATATACACATTGTGGAATGAACAAATCAAGCTGATTAAAGTACCTGTCACCTCAAATGTTTGCCATTTCTTTATGGAAGAACATATTTAAATCCTCTCCTAGGGTATGCCGGTCAAAGGGAACAGTTTCAGATAGGTAGCAGGAATCAACTCTGGTGACCTATCGCACAATATGGTGACTCTAATAAATAATAACATATATTCCTAGTGAAAATCTTGACCAAGTCGCTTCTCTATTTAGAATATTCAGAGGCACTCTGCAGCCCACAGGGTAAGACCCAAACTCCAACATGATGCGTGAGCCCTTGATGCCAGGTGCCGGAGCACCTTTGCTGCCTGTGTCTACTGAGCCTCTGCCCCTGCACCCAGCCACCTTCACACACACACTCCTGCTGTGCAGCACCTGCCTCTGGAATTGGTGAGTGTGGCCATCTGGACTCAGGTGCCAATGTTCCCTCCGTTTCACCGACTCACCCAAGCATCATGACTTTCAGGGAGCCATCCAGACTCCTCCTGGCTCTGGGTGGGGCGTACATCCCTGGTGCTCCTGTGTGCCTCCTCTGTGCTCCTGTGTATATCTTCAGTGCTCCTGTGGGCATCCCTGGTGCTCCTGTGTGTATCTTTAGTGTTCGTGTTCACATCCCCAGTGCTCTTGTTTGCATTCTTGGTGCTCCTGTTCACATCCCTGGTGCGCCTCTTCACATCCCTGGTGCTCCTGTGCACATGCCCGGTGCTCCTGTGTGCATGTCTGGTGCTCTTGTGTGCATTATTGGTGCTGCTGTGCACATCCCTGGTGCTCCTGTGCACATCTTCAGTGCTCCTGTGTGCATGTCCGGTGCTCCTATGTGCATCCCCAGTACTCCTGTGTGCATCCCCATGCTGCTGTGTGCATTCTCGGTGCTCCTGTGCTCATCCTTGGTGCTCCTGTGCACATCCTGGTGTTCCTGTGTGAGTCATACACATTTCCACGGCCACCCCTCTCAGTTGTATTTTTACTCTCTGCTTCCATGGTGACTCCTCTAGATGGAGGAGCCCTCCAGTGTGGATCCTTGTGTGTGCGGGCTCAGGGAAGTCCAAGCTCAAGGCACCCTTGCTGAATGACTCGCTCTCACCTTCCTCAGACCAAAATCTACCTGAGTCTGAGTTCTCCAGAGAAACTGAGAGAGAGAGAGAGAGAGAGAGAGAGAGAGATTGATTTCAGGGAGTTATTTCACTCCCTCGTGGGGCTGGGAGATCTGAAGTCTGAAGACCAGCAGGCTGGAAACTCAGGTAAGGTCGATGTTGAGTCCAAAGGCAGTGGGAGGCAGAATCTGCCTCTGGCTCACCGTGCTGCTCTTCCCTGTCTGCTGGGAAGGGAGGAGGCTGTCGTCACCTCCATGGCCACCTTTTTTCCATCTCAGCCTTGAGGACCATTGTCTTATCTCTACTTATTTTACTGGGAGCTCATCAGAATTTTCAACATCAGGACCTTAAAATAGAAGTTCTTTCCCTTTCTCCCTGTGCCCCCCCTCCTCCTCCTCCCTCCCACCAGTACCTGTTTCCAGCTCCCTGGAGGCTGCAACGCCCCACTGCCCTGGCTTTGACCCTCATTTCACTCACCTGGGCCTGACTGTCAAGAGGCTCTAGATCTCTACTGGGCCAGAGACGATCACCTCTGACCTCAGCACAGCCCCCCTCACCAATGCCAGTCCCGGGTTCTCCCACTTCCCACTCTCCCTGCCTTCCCTCCCTGAATGCTGAGTTTTACTGGGAAGTCATAAAAATGCAGAAAGCGACAAGGCCAAGAAGAAACTATGTTAACACCTAGCAGAATTTTGAGGTACCCTGCCTCTTGTTCCTTCTTAAGGCCAGACGAGGACCCGACGGTCTGAATAAAGCAGAAGAATGGATGAGAAGATTGTGACAGGCTTTTCTCCTCGGCGTCTTCCTGACAGCTCATACCCCGATTCTTGTTCTCATTTTATTCTCTCTTTCTTTCACTTTTCCAGCTCTGCCCCCGTCTTTACCACTAAATCTGCAGCGTCTATTGCTGGCCATACTCTCCCCACTCCAGACGCCTTTCGGCCTGCATTGAGGAGAGAGGCACTGGCCCTGACTGGGGGCTTCCACGTGTGCAGGGGCCGCCCGCGGTGAGGTCTCCGCAGCATGACGGGGCTGGAAGCCGGCAGCTTTGTTGTGGTTATCTATACATCTTGTGTTTGGCAGCAGCCAGGCCTTTTCCCGAGCAGTCAAGGTAAGACTGTGTGGCCATGCCCTGACCACCACCGTTCCCGGAGCTGGGCTTCAGGAGAGAGCCGGGGTCTCCGTGAATATTACGTAGACATTTATTTAATCTCCTTTCCAACCTCGCACCCCGCCGACCTCTACCGGGCATGTGTTTCTGAAAGCAAGCTTTGTTGAGTGTGCTCCCAGCCCACAGACAAAAGGGACTCCCTGTGGCCACCCGAGGCACTCAGAGTTAAAACAGAAGCGGTCGGTCATGGCAGGGTGAGGAAGCGGCCACCCACTCCGTGTCCTCGGGAAGATGCTGTGAAAGTGTCACCTCCCTTTCTACAGTCAGGCCTGACCAGCTCCTGTCATTGGTGCTGAGCTAGACCTTGGCTTAAAATTCCCTATTGACCACCCACAGGCCACCTGAGGCTGATGCAGAGACACTGGCAATGTCTTGCTTAAAAGGCCTTTCAGTCTGGATCCTGCAACGGACGCCCCCCAAACTCTCATTCTGAACGATTTGCCTTCATCATCTCCCAATCCTCCACCCCTCCACCTGCGTCTTACACCAAAGGCTGCGTGTCCACAATCACAGGTTTTTCTAAAAGCAAAATGTATTTGCTTTTAGAAAATAAGGTTCCCCTGTTGCCTCCACAGATATCACCCATCTTTTGTTAACAGCTTCCATGTCATTCTGTATGTCTTACGTCCTCAGCAGTAGCCAGGGCAAGGGAGGTATGTGGGGAGGGGAGGGATGGGGGACAGGCATCTACGCCTCTCATGCACATCTTGTCCCCACTCTTCCTTTTCAGCCCACAGCCTCCCCACCTCCCACGGCTGCTGGTGCCCAAGTTTGGGAGCCTCTCCAGGTTCTTCAGAGAGTAGAGCTTGATTTCCAACAGCCCCCGTTTCCCCAGGTGCTTGGACTTCAGCCTTCAGCTCCACGCACCATCTTTCAGAACTACGTTGGCAACTTTACCTGATTTTTTTTTGTTTTTGTTTTTGTGTATTTACAACATTTTATTCCTTTAGTTTTCATTTTAGAGAGGATTAGGAGAGAGAAGGAATGAAACTGTGTGAGGCCCACCGTGTTTAACCAGAAGTCCCTGTTATCTGCTTAATGACACCTTTCTAGAAGAGGAATTGCTGGGTCAAAAGCCGTGCGTATTTCACGCGGCGAGTCACGTTAAACTGTCCACCGGAAAAGTGCACTGACTTTTTACCGGGAAGTAAGCCGGAAGATTGCTTTTATTTTATAAATGCTATTTTTCTTTTGTATGATAAAAGAGACTTATTTTTGAGGCAAAACATGATGACACCGGCATATTTTAATTGGTATACTTCATCATAGAGCATCAGAAAAATAAAATCAGTGTGACGAGGCAGCAGCCCCAGAAGGCGGTCACTCACTGCAGCCATTGCCGGCCTGTGCTTTGTGAGCTGGACGGTCCTCTGGCCTCGTTCCAGCCTCAGTCTGCCTAAAAGTGGATATTCCAGGCGGGAAATGTGTCTAGCCTGACGGTGAAGACTGTCTGGAGGATGGTTGGTTTTGAGGAGGGCAATGATTTTGCAGGAAGGTTTCACAAAAGCAGAAACATGGTCAAAATTTGTCCAAGGTGGATTTCTGTTGTTGCTAAATTTTCCTGGTGTGCCGGGCAGGACAATGGTGGGACAGCGAACCTGGAATAAGAAGAGACACTCAGACTTCCCAAAGTAGATGAGAGAAACTTTGCTTTTTGCAAGGGAGGGGAATGGAAGGCCCTGTTGCAATTGTCTTGCTTCAGTTTTGTTCAGTGAGTGAAGCCAAGTTCGCCCAGGGCCAGCTGTGCTCGTGCAGACGTGTGTGCTGGGGTGGGGGTCGCCATTACTAATGGCGTAAGGCTGGTGGGGTACAGGCAGGAGCAAGTTAGAAATGGAAACTCCGTGTCTTCCTTCTGGCAGCCGATGGCACTGGCTTGCCAAGAAGGTGTGGGTGTCTGGAAAGCACCCATGAGGACCAGTAGTCAGGGAGCCAGCAGGAGTGACGGCGAAGAGAGACTGTTGCTCAGGGTCTCCTGGGATAGACTGAGTTGGGAACTAACTAGGTGGTCCCCGTTGCCATGGAGACAACCTTCCCTGAAAGCGGTGGGGAATGGCGGACAGTCCACAAGGGAGATGCTGACTCAGGCTTCAGATGGAATTTCCTGGGATCCCTCACTTCCATTTTCCGCTCTTTTCTGAGTTCCGCTGTTTTCCCTATTTCTCCTTTGTTTTCTGTTGCGTATTCTCTCCTTCTGGGGAGAAAGTGTGGGAAGCCAGTGAAGAGGTCCTGCTCTGGGGATGAGAAGCCAGGTTGAAGGAAGACTCGAGCACAGTGGACCTGGCAGGTGGGGTCTCCAGAGAGCCTGTGGCTGTGCAGAGCAGCCACCCCAGGGATTCGTGCAGAATTGAGTCTGAACACATGGTCTTTCTGGTGCATCTGGCTAGATTGGGACTGTATTGGTCTATCTCCCTCAGCAGCCCTGGTCCAAGGAGCACGATCAGAGAGATATAAGCCAGTCACTCCAAGTTGTCATCTTTCTCTTCACCGTGCCTGGGAGAGGAAGGTAATTGTTTTGCTTTGTTAGAAAAGAAATACAAACCCAGCAGCCGAGAGATTTCCCCAATGGATAGGCCTGTGTTTGGGAAGGAAGGTTAAAGCCAGTGGATTTCTAGTTCACTTGTTTTCTCTAATGATACATCAGAAGGGCCGCAGGGTCCAGTTAATCCGTCCAGTGGCATTTTTGAGATGAGGTAGCAGGTGCTCCAGAACCAGAAAGACAGACTGTGGGTGGCCCCTCCGGAGGCTCACTGAGGGTTCTATGCCACAGATCTGTGTCCAGCAAGCAAAGGAGCTGGGGTCAGAGCTGGTGAAACACAGGACCATTCCCTATTCAGCCTGGCAGATATTTGCTGAGACCTATAACAGAAAAGGTATTTTACTGAGGTGTATGAGGTGGGTCCCTTGGCAACTGCTGTGATGCCTCCATACTCCCATCTGGGTCAGAGACTGAAAAGAACTCAAAGATCGCCGAGAGCAGCATTCTGGGCTGCCGTCCCAGCAATTCATCTACAGAGGTTTGCGGGGTGCCCACTCTGTGACAGACACATCTCTGCAGGAGGATCCTGGGCGTGGACATGGGGTGGGAGGGTCCCAGGATAAGAAGAGTGTGCGGCTGTCAGGAGGCTTCATGGAGAAGCCCACACCTGAGCTGAGTTGGGAAGAAGGAGTCAGACTTGGCCACAGGGAGCGGGGAAGTATCTGTGTCCTGGAATGATTTTGCAGAAGGAGAAGGAACCCATGTGTTGACTTGGAGCCGTCCTGGAGGGCTACCCTTGGAGGAACCTCAGAAAAGTCTGGTCCCATGGC